CTGGGACGGACACGCCTTTGGTCCACGGTTGGTGGGCCCATTGGAGCGCAACGCCATAGCGATGAGCGGCCTTCAGCAACCCGGAGCGGCTGCTGCTGCAAAAGCCTTACCGCCTATGATCCCCTTTGGCGTAGGGGAGGAGCGACATTTTGAACTCGCACTTGAGTTGCAACAGAGACCCACCCCATTTGAAACTATGGGTGTTGTCGATGATGATTTGATCTTTGCCGCATCTGGCTATGCAGCCCAGGGAGTAGGCCTGCGGGAGGTGAGGAGACGTACAGGCCGTTGGCTCCAAGAACTCAGCCGTCGAATGTGGCCCATCACATACCACCTCCAAACATATCAGCCACCGCCCGCGCGGTCCGCCACTCAAGGCCGCCACATCGCCCTGATTGGGCTTATCATGCTGATTACTGGATGGCCAGACACTACGTTCGTGGCTAACCTGATATATGGTTTCCCTGCCGTAGGCTTTTCCCCGCATGTGCCCGTGTACAAGGCTCAACCAGCTCACTACATCCCGGACGCCTCCATCTACCAGGACGCCCTGCCAGAGGCTGCCCGCCTCATCCAAAGCCTCCGCCCAGGTGAACACGACACGGCCATTGCCCAGGCGGGTGAGGAAGACCAAGCCAAAGGCTTTTGTGGCCCCCCAATGACATGGGCCCAGCTATGCCAGGACCTCCCCCAATTCAGGCTGATCCGGAGGTTTTGTATACAACAGCCCTCGGGTAAGTTGCGAGTCATAGATGACGCTGCAGACGGAGGGCAGAGCGCACTCAGCTCGGATGCGAACAAGTTGGATTTATGTACGAGCATTCAACCTGGCCTTCATGTTCAATTGCTCTGGCAGGCAGCATCCTCGTCGATTCACGTGTCTGAGTTGTTGCAAGCTGGTATTTGGTCCGGGGGCGAAGACCTACCCAACGCCTACCGCTATGTCCCCATGAAGCCGACACATGGCAACATGGCCGTGGTGGCATACTACGACCACCACGTGGGTGGCCCCCGTTTTCGACAATACTACGGTTCTCTGTTCGGGTTACCAAATGCGGTGTGTTCGTTCAATCGATTTCCCCGGTTCTTTCAAGCTGCCTGCCGCCGCCTGGCCTATTGTATGACCAGTATGTACTTTGATGACCTGACAATCCAGGACTTCGGTATCATGGGCGGCACTGGCCAGGCATTCGTCAATGACCTGGCACGATGCCTTGGCTCACCCTTCCAAACAGAGAAACATCAGTCCTTGGCGGCTCAGTCTGATTTTCTGGGGCTGATCCATGACGTGGCTGCCTGCCACCGGGGGGATCCTGTCAAGTTCTGGGTCCGGGACCGATTGCTCACCAAGGTCACCGACATCATGGAGGAGGCCACTCAGACGCGTCGCCTCCCTCCGGGACTGGCGGCCAAGCTCTTTGGCTGCCTGGGCTTCTTGACGACGGGATGCTTCGGCAAGCTCGGCCGGTCGGGCCTCCATAGCATCAAGGACAGACATGATACTCCTCGCAAGTCGTGATGACACCGGAGATTGAACAGTCCTTTGCTAGAATTCGAGCTCTCCTTCAGTTGAAGCCTGAAAGAGAATTACCGCTCAATCCAGTACGGCAACACCGATACTTGGCAGCATCCGATGCAGCGCAAGATAGGCCCCGCGAAGGCTCTGCGGGAGTCCTGTTCATCGACCCCCGTGGTAACCGAAGGGCCTATGTCGTCCATATCAGCCCAAAGATCTTCACGGTGTGGTCCCCTCATGAGGCCAAGATTGCACAGCTTGAGCTTTTGACAGTCTACATGGGCCTGGCATATAATGCCTCATCAGTTCGCGGAATGCATGGTATATGGTTTGTTGACAATATCGCTGCCCTCATGGCTCTCATACGAGGCCGCAGCAACAACGATGAGCTGGATTCCATGGCCGGAGCCATCCATGGCCTTCTGTTTGCACTCCGTAGTGCATGCTACTTCGAATGGGTCCAGAGTAAGGACAACTGGTCAGACGGCATCAGCAGACAGGGAGAACACGACCCGTGGTTCCAACAACATGGTTTTCGTCTCTTCCACACCTACCCCCTGCTCATGCTCCTCCAGCTGCCTTACCACCTCATCGCTCAGGTCTTTCAGTTCGTTTGAGTGCTTTGGATAAGTTAGTGCCTTGGATGGAGTGCTCCCACAGGGAGAGTGTCAGATGTCAGATGACACAAGCGACGTGGGTCGCATTTCGAACCAAAGCACTTTAGTACAGACAGTACAGACCTGAATCGATTCGCAGAAAAGGGTAGCAGCAGTCGACATCTGTTGAGCGAGATTCATCGAATATATTCAATCATTTAAGGTAGGCAGGGTCGGTGATGATGAATTATTTGGGAAGCTTCGAATCAACGTCTCCCAATGTTTGAATGCTCAAGCCAAACTGGGGAGACGCCCCTTGAGGAGCAGTGTCGCTGCTGGTACCTCAAGCTAAACTTTTTCTCCCACCCTGCCACACCCTGTTAGTTACTTTCATGTCCACCTGGTGCTAGTCGAGCTGGTGGCTGACTTGGCTTGTTGCCGGAAGAGTCTGGTTACCTGGTGATAGTCGCTTCACCTGTGGCCTTGCTGGTGCTTGATGGCCGTATTCCGGGTTATTTTCAGTTACCACGGCTATGCTTGTGACGCTTGCAGCCTGGGCTGTCGGCCACGTGAGATGGGGACTGTGCTGTCTGCCGCTGTCGTCCGGTTGTCCTTTTCCGGCTGCCCGCCGCCTAGCCATCATACCTGTTCTGGCGGTCCCAGGTATCGACGATGACTAGGAAGTTTCATTTAATCTTTTCATCGCTCTGTCCAGAGCTGGCATCCGTTGTGGCCGTAGGACCGCCCCTGCGGTATCCTCTCGGTCACTACATACGGATGGAGTGCTCCCACAGGGAGAGTGTCAGATGTCAGATGACACAAGCGACGTGGGTCGCATTTCGAACCAAAGCACTTTAGTACAGACAGTACAGACCTGAATCGATTCGCAGAAAAGGGTAGCAGCAGTCGACATCTGTTGAGCGAGATTCATCGAATATACTTATATAATCTTATATATATGTATACTGTAGGGCTCGAGGTGGCTAGGTCAGATCTAGCAGAACTCGGCAGCCCCAGTGCCTGAATCAAAGGCACACCTAGTCAATCATAGTCCGATCCACATCTGATCTGAAGCCATGTGGTGTTGGTGCTGACTGCGTGTGGCACTTGCTGCTGACGCATCAGCCTAACGGTCCTTTTAAAGAGGCAGGATAGCTTCTTTACCGAGACCATTGAGGAATACCTACGTGATTTCCAAGCGCGTGTGTGCACAGTCGCATATGTGCGGCATGCGGGTTTCCATGGATGGCCAGGCGCCGTTTGACCTTGGCAAGCCCATGTGACAGAAATTGTGGAGCATATGTTGTGTGTAGACAGGACAAGGAATAAGGCGTCATCATTTGATAGGCCGATGCCCCCCCAGTCCGAAATGGAAATTGCCTACAGGAAAGAACAAAAGCCTACAGGCAAGGAAGGTATCTACGTAGCTGACGAATTTCTATGTCGACTGCCTGGGCTGCTCATTCGATCTACTTGCACAAGCTTGTGCCGACGAAGCACATGTTACCCTGTTAGGAGAGAAATTGGTAGGCTACGGCAAGAAATCAGCAGGAAGAATGGCCACGCTGCCCATTATCTCCACAGAGGGGAGGCGAGGTACATTGCACTGGAACTTTGTGGTGCAAGCCATGAGAGTGGATTGGGGCAACGTACAAAGGATGAAAAGGCGGTCAGAATGCAGATGTGGTTTTAGCGGAAGGATTTTTTGATGCAAAGCATCAAGATGTTCAGAGGCGGCAAAGTACACCGAGCGTACAGTGTTTTTTGCGTCAGTTTTGCTGCAGTTGACTCTAGGCTGTAGACTGGAGGAGTATGCCGCAAGCCCGAAAGAGCCCGATCGCAGATCTGGGAACTGGGAACCACTTTACCAGAGCGCATCGATGAATATCGATGAGGAAAAACCTATCGGTGCTGACTTCTGAAGGGCCCAGCGCCCACGGTGTTTAATTAATGAATTCAGTGCACTGCGGCCACGGGCATCGACCTTCGGCGGACGCAAACGGAAAATGGAACTGTATATAAATATAGTTAGCAAATTATATAGTGTAGAAGGATGTAAAAAACATATCTAAAAATGCCATAAAATGCCCTGCACTCCAGGTTTTGTGCTCGTTTTTCTCCCCGTGTCCCTTCATCTCGCATGTACCTGGGTTGTTGGCTGAAGTTACTGTACCGTTGATTGTCAATTGGACAGATCATCATTTTCTTTCTGCATTGACTCAAATTTGGATGGACCCAACACAAACAATTAAATACAGAAAGCACTCCAACAAAAAATGCAATACAATACAATACAACACCCTCTGAGAATGAGCGATGCCTCCCAAGCGCACGCGGTTTAGCGGTATCGGTATTAGGAACAAACAACAAATACGACCGACCAACTTTAATACCTGTTGCCTTTCAAACAAATCTAAATGCATGTAGATGGAACACCTGGTCAGAATATTAGTGCCATTTGAAGATGGCATTTCCCTAATCGCACACCCATGTTTTCCAGCCATAGCAGATGGCACTTTCAAAATGCAGTGTCTGAAACTTTGAATGCGGAGTATCTACCCAATAGATGTGGGTTCCAAGGAGAAACAGTGGCCAGACGGAGCTAAAAGGAACCCAGATGCCATAACATGCTGCAGTGACATGCCAGAACCTCTCGTTAGAATCCTGGATGGTGGTAAGATTGTGCGTGGAGGCGATGCATGGCGATGCAACTTATCAGACTTATCAGGGATAAGACGGGATAAGGCCGTATCTTTTCGACAGTTAACTGGAAGAATTTGAGGCAGAGCCTTTTTGTATGTGCGTTGTGTATTGCACTTTTGAATATGTTCATATCTTAGTCATTGGTTTGTGACGCCACTGGGGTCAAAAGCCAATTCTCCCAACAGGAGCTGGTGCTAATTCGACTTGCTTGTCTTGCGCGAGTGGAGGATCGCAGCGCATACCGGCAGCTAGAGGAGACCCAGCTGAAAAGAGCTCTGCATTTGATGCATTCCACTCGTTTGCCGACCAAGAGTATACCTGTAACATGCTGTAACTTGTATATAATAGTAAAACTAATGAGGATGACATTAGCCTGAGAGAGCCAAGCGCCCAGTCAAAAACGTCACGCATGTCATTATCCCGCCCACCAAAGCCCCCTGCTCTACCAAAGTTTCGAAATCCACCAAGTTTCGGAAGCCCGGTTGCACAATCTTTTGCAAAGTTGTGACTTAAAAAACTTGCAAACAGTTCCTCAAACATATATACTGTAGTTTCTGAAGCGTAGTGTCTGAAACGCACATAGTTTATGCGAATTGGTATCTGATCCGTGCATAGTTTCTGAAACGTTATCGATCTGTTTTTTCCTGACAGATCGATGGAATTCTGGCACGAATTGAAACAGCTTCACCACATCAAGTCGTGCAGTAAACACCCGGCGGCTGGATTAGGCCATCGAACATGAATGTTGCCCCACCAAAAATCGAAAGCGGTGCTTCGGAAAGAACAAGCGAGCTTTGCAGGGCGCTAAGAGTTTGTTGCCCAGGGACCGCAATGTGGAAGAGCTATACACGCATATATATATATATATATATATACACAAGAGAAAATATGTGTAGGATTCTTTCTCCTAAGCCTTTTCAGGTCAAATGGCCTCGAGGATCTTCCGATCTTCCCCTGGAAAACTAGACTTGGACACCTTGCGACATCGCAATTGGAATCTTAGCCTGGATCACCGCTGTAGCCCAGCAACCCTTGAAGCCTTCTCTTTGCTGTTCTACCAGCCACATGGCGCATCTGGTGAACTAGACGATGATCCTTGCACTATATACTGTACACTGTACACCTAACCTATAGTCGCACCAAGCGAATGCATGACTTTCGCGACAAGTGTTGGTTTACCCTAAATATCCTTGCCTTACAAAACATAGTAATAGAAGGCGGGTGCAGTGCCCTGGCTTTACAGCATTCAACAATCGAGAGTACATTCCCCTCTTCCGCTAAGCCGCTACGATGTTACAATGTTAATCACTCTCGAACACTGCACTTTGAGGAATGCTGGGCTTCCTTGGGATCAGGGGAGAGATCAACGCTCTTGCACCACTTCTTAGCAGATGGGATCGAGGACACTGCCTTCGTCTTTGAATTCTTACCCGACTGTGTGGCCAATGCAGTGCGCAATCCAAACATTGGCTTGACATGTCTTTTGGAAATACTAGTTTGCCTCTTGAACATGCTTCAGCCAGCGGCACCTGGCATGCTTGCAAATATGGAAAACTGCAAGGTCATTTTTGTGAATCTTGCCGACATGAGCGAGTTCATTGCTTGTGTGCGAAACCGCTTCGTGTTTGAGACGTGCGTCTCACGCTGCAAAGTACGATTTACAGGGGGCAGAGTACTTTTGGAGATGACAGGTAGCAATTGGGCGCGAGTGAATGAGCCAAACTCGGATATCACAAGCCTCGCCTACAGCGTGAAGGATGTGTTGCAGAAGCAACGTACATTGGAAACTCAGCTTTTGCAAAGAATGGGAGGACCGCTACAGCAACGGGTTATTGAAACCTGGGGAGTCTAAATCAAAGAGGTGGTGGAACTGCGCAATGCACGCATTCCACTGTGTATGTCACAGGCCATGATTTGGCCTTGCGAAAAATGTCAATCCTGCTGCTTTCATGTGGCTAAATGTGCATTCTTTTCCAAAAAAGCTGCTGGCTGCAGACTGGAAACTCAATTCTGCAAAGCTGGCACTTTGCACCACAGCCTTGGCATTGCATCACTTCGTTTCAGGTACTGTACATGTGATATTTTCTCCAAGTGGTGTCCAACGTATATATATATATATAATTATACATACATATTAATATGTACGCCTCAGCAGTGCTGCAAGGCCATAGCGCAGCCAAAGGCTGACGCCAAGACTGCACTGAACAGCAAGAAAAGAGGCTTTGGCGCTGAACTTATGCGTCTTGACATGGAGTTTCCGCAACATATTTCCACAAGTGCTGGTAGTCAGGAGGATGTCAGTAAATGCCGTTGTGTTGCTTGCATGCCTCCCAGAGAGAGAGAGAGAGGGAGAGCGGGTTGACTTCCCGGACAGGCAGACATAGATTGTACATATGCATGAAGAAGCACCAAGTCGCATGTTTAGATACCACCGTTGGTGTGTTTGGATGGGTAAGTTGCATGGCCGAGCGCAGAACTTTCTGGAACAGGTGTGTGATGCTGCTCTTTGCCAGCGGGGCAGACATATAGTGTCAACAGCATTTTTTTACTGGCCGCGGGCCAGTAGGTAGGCACGGACATCATTATCACCGTGCCTGTTTTTTTTGCTAGTGCAGCTCTCAACGAAGACTAGACACCGTGCATGATAGGCTCATCGTGCATGCGATGCCTTTGTAGCGTGAATCGGGTTGCATTCAGTTCTGATTGTTGGCAGCGTGCACTAAGTTTAGGAGAAGTCTTGAGCCAGGTCACGGCAGTTTGTTCGTTTGACCAGGCTGAGCACGTTGAATTGCCACCTCCAAAGTTGATTTGGAATCGCATGTGTCACCATGGTCCAAGAGGCCAAGAGGAGGAGCAATCGAATTGGTTTGGCCAAAAAACGAGCTGATTGCCCGGCTGAGTCATTGAACATGTATGTCTCATAGCCCAGCTAGAATACACCAACGCAACAACAGTTTCCAATAAGACAGCAAACATGATGCCAAGTCCCGAACGCTGCCCGGGCTTCAAGCTCGCCAAAATGTACAAGAATCGGCCGACATAGAAGAACAAACAGAACTTGCAGCAAACAGGGCAGGGGTGGACAGACACGGCAAGATCGTGACACATTACCGAAATCTTATCCAAACTCTCAAACAGGCATAGACACGTGTGACACACATGGGTCCTCGGCGTGCTTTGACAGGCCTGATTTGCCGAAGACCAGTTTCAATAAGGCATGTTGCCTCTTTTGGTGACACTTGGAATGCCTGTATGAGTCGGGAAGAAGCGATAGACATCATGATGTATATATATATTATATTCATTCATTCAATTCACTCATTAATTCATTCATTCATTCATTCATTCATTCAATCATTCAATCATTCACTCACTCACTCACAGATTCACTCACGTGTGGAAACCTGCCGCCAGGCATTTGGCTCGAGGTTTAGGAATGTGCTTGCTCACACGTTTGTTGTACTTGTGCTTACGTGTCCCTTTTCTAGACTAGCTCGATCCAAACGCCCCAATGCCATTCCAATGGCTTGGCTTGGACTTGTGCTTTATGCTGGCTTTCTGCCAAGCTCACTCCAGCCAGCTGAGACCTTGCACCAACCAAATTCGTGAAAATTGCAGCGAAGGTCGCTTTGTGCCATGCGGGTCCACCAAAAACCGTCACCATGACTTCAGCATGCTGCATGCTAGAGATGCTACCAAGTGCCATGCCCCAGCTGGGAGGGTTCAGCCTGGGCAGATGATTCTTGTTGAGTTTTTTTCAGGGCCACCTGATGTTCAAAATGGCAAGTGTATGGAGATTCTTTTGGTAGTCGGCGAATGCTGGGGTTTGGATTCAGATGGGGATTCCTATGACTGCCTTGGCCTATGTGGAGTTGGCTGCCAGGAAAGCGACGTTTGCTCCAACTGGTCTCGAAACTGTTTGAAGCATGATGTGTGCAGCTACTACTACAACTCCAGAGGTGGAGCTGCAGATCCTCACTGTGGCTGGGCTTTCAACATCGCAGCTTCGGATTTCTTGCAGCCTTGCGCTGTGGATTCAGCCTGTACCCTGCCCAATTTCAACAGGAAGGCTGAAGTGTGCACGAAAGCAGCGGGATCAGGAGAACGCGTCGTTTAGTGTGCGAGATTTCTTCAACAGGCCGGTCGAGGTTCTAGAAGTGAAAGGCTGGAGAAAGATGAATGGCGTGTGACAGAGCAGACTGCGACTGCAAGGAAGAAACCTGATTTGATATCGCTTGATAGCACAATCCATTTAGAATCCACAATTCGCCTGAGCCAGACGACGCATAGAAGATCCTTGTGGAGATGAGCAGGCTGCAGGAGGTCCTCCCTGCGGCCTACTAGTGGACATGGTCGAAGAGCTTGATGATTGATGTGTCACCCTGCAGCACGGCCGGTTTGACCTGGCCACGTGCCAGTTGAATCCAACATGGTCAAAGGCTCTCAAGTGAAAGCGTTTGTTGAAGTACAAACTACCTGCTGACATACAAATAACCCATGAGAGTTCGATTTGCTGCGCTGCCACTTTGTTGTTCTATGCCAGGCTGGAATTTGCATGGGTTGCTGAGCTGCACGATTTCGGTTGAACCGTTGAATGGTGATCGAATGCTGTTTATTTGCACGTGTTGATTGCTGAGTTTTTATTTGATGAATTTGAGATTATATAGCCCTTACAGTATTGAATGTTGTTCCGGACGGCCACCACCCCCTTCCCCACAGAGTTGCAATGTTCCTGTGAAGAGGCAGATTGGAGAAATGGAAAAGTGATGGGACGTGCATGCTTTGTTATATATATATACAGGGCATGGGCTGCTTAGAGCTGGGCTCAAGATGATGGCGTCAGACTTGCCAAGTTCCGGTAGCTGGTACCAGCACGGTGCCCCAAATCAGCCTGTGCAGCTCACAACATGTGCCAAGAAGCAGTTCCTATTTGCATCTATTTGCATGTGTGGCCTATAGCTTATATTCATCGCCTGTGCCAGGCCCAGAGCAGGGACTAGTACATGGTTCTATTATGTTCTATTTGGCATTTGAAACTCAATTGCCAGCCTTTGAGCCAAGGCCATGCTTCTGCAAAAGAAGCAGCAGGGAAAGCCTTACTGCACCCTGACTGCATACCACAAACATGTTTCACGGTTGCTTTTCGCGTTGCCCAGCACCTGAACCTCTTCAACCAAGGTCGCCGACCGCAGGTCAAGAAGGTTCCAACTGTCTTCCAGCAGCTACACATTCGATACAGTGGCATGGTTGGCACATGTTCAAAGTCAAACAGGCAGGTACAGGCCAGATTTCAGCTCCCAAAGGACAATTTGGCTGTTCAACTGTGCGGGATCGTTGGTTGCGGTAGCTTTGCCCCTGTGTCATCACATCCTTGCTCTTTCGTTGGAGATTTGTCCGATGCCTGCCATCCTGTGTTCCTCAGGAGAGGAAGTCCAGGCTCAAAGGCAGCCTAGCAGCACGCAAGGCATAAAGCATAAGATATCAAGCACATACACACGCACATATATATATATATACAGTATATATTTGATTGTATTTGGCAGATTGTTCTCGTGGCGATGTTTGCTTCCTAAGCCAAGCTTCAGGACTCATCCAGCATCAGGTGCTCTTTTCAATGTTGTTGTGATTCTAATGATTTTCTTGAATACAGCTGCTTGGCCGAAGGGTGTGCTTTGGGCATCACATTCCACACACCTTCGCATCAGAGAGTTTTATCATTTGTTGTAATTAAACAGGAGCCGAAAATGGCTTGTTTTGGCAAACGTGGCAGCATGTTGGTGGATTGAGCTGGAAGCACATTCCTTAGATAATTATGACAATTGAATCATATACTGTATGATATAGCTGATATCCATGACCGTGCCGCAAGGGATCCCCTTGTCGTAGTTTTTGGGACCAATCAATCTCTGAGGCAGCTAGATAGGTGTTTTCCGATGCAAAGGGGTGAGACTGGAGGAGCTTAGGGCCTAGGGCCTAGGGATGATGAGCTAGCTTAGCTGGGTGGCAAGGCTTCACTTAGATGATCATATATGATCATATATAATCAGTTGGCTTGGTTATTTAATTTGAGGATGATGGTGCGTTATGGTGCGTTCAGAATTATTTAAGTTGCGGGCTAAGCCCCCGAACTTCCAAATGCATTGAATCCAGAGGGGAGCCAGCGCGGTGGAAACCGCCACACTTCTACTAGTCGTACTACTGCGATGGCTCTTGCTCGTGACACTAGTCTGACCACGCGTGGGAGTTTCAATTGGATTGAGCACTGCGAGTTCTGCAATGTTTTGTCCCGGCACCCTTGACTGAGATAGTGATCGGCATCGAAATGGACCTCACTCGAGCCAGTCACCTCGAGGAGTTTGCAGAATGTTTCTTGTGCAGTAGGGCAACATTGTTCGAACAGCCAGTTGGTAAACTACGGTAAAGTGTCACACCCTTCCAGGAGCGATCGTATTGGTTTGCGATCGAAGCTTTATTTGCTCTGTTTTTTCTTTTTGAATGTCTTCTACGAATACATCAGCTTGGATACGACTATTTCCTGGATCCTTGATTGCACTGCACTGTTCCTGCATTTGCCATTTTGTAGTTTTTGGCTGTAGTGACTGGGGGGCCCTTGTTTGTGGTCATGCAAGACAAGGATGAAACGGACGCAAAGGTACTACGCAGTGGCCATGTCACGTCTTGAAAGCTTGGGCCCCCCCTGAGCTCGGGTTTTGAATGGGCACTTCTACTGTATTCCAGGCTCAATTGTAGTCTCAAATGACAGTGAGTCCAAGTTTGGACGAGCACACGTTCGTCAGGACTCTTGGAATGTGTACGACTATACGCTGGTTGTATTGAGTGGAGCTGACATTGTGGCTTTTTAGATGCATGGATCGGTTCTGCCCGGGGTGTTCAATGCTGGCGTACCAGACCTATTGAATCTTAGCAATACCGTGTTCATGAGGAAGCCTTGAAGAGATAGGGGCCACATGGGGCCACAACCACAAGCACGATCGTGAGTGGAAATAGACAAGCCAGCAATAGATTATCCTTTGGTGCAATAGTAATGTTATGATTTTTGACGCAAGGTATCTGTGACTATACCTGGCTCTGGTGGCCTTGGAATTGCGAAGTCCCTTCGCATTCTGCGGCTCTTGCGAGTTTATCGCAGCATCAAGGGCTTGAAGGCACTTTCAGGCAGGGGGCCCGAGAAGCAGCGATCATTGCAGATTTTACAACGGTTGCCATGTTTTTTTGAACAAAATCCATCAGCTTGTTTATGATACTTATCTTGTTGACTTACAACTTATAGGTCGCTTACAGGTCTCTCAACATGCTCGGGTTGTCTCTGAATCTTTCGAGCATGCCCCAGATTTGATATGAATAATAAGGCCTTCACCACCAGGAAGTTGGGGAATGTTCCAAAGGTATGTTGAACAGTTCTTGCTTGAAAATTTGTATAATTGAAAAATATTGAAAACATATATTGTTATGTTATAAATTGTTATAATATATAATGTTTATAATCATAGTTTTACAATACAATAATTCTATATAGCATATTGCATAATTTACCGTTTACTGTAGTATTTTGTATTGTATTGATATCAGATACTTAACATATCCTGTAAAATTAGCCATTGCTTGAACTGCATTTTCTCATCAAAGCTTCTACTGCGGACTGTATTCGGTTTGCCCACGTCTTTGCTGACTTGAGGTCTATGGGTCATAGTGCAAGGGTGCTTGGATTCGCTTCTTGCCGTGGACGCCTGGCATAGCAATGCCAAACCCAGAAACAAACATCACCATCGCAAGCTTCAACCGGGTCGTATCGACATTACCTTCAAATATGCACCAGGTATGGGTGACAGTGGCTTTGTTCATATTCCTCTTCATGTTTGCAGTGATTGTATGTACTATGGTTGGGCAAGATCTTGACATACGCAGAGCTCCTTGGTAGCACACGAACGCACTTGCATTATTGTGCAGCGAGGGGAAGTCTCTAGGCATTTTGCTCAAACTTTCCTGGCAGAAACTCTGGCGATGGTGGGTGACTTGATTCATTGCCAGGAGTGGAGCCACGCAGATTTATATGTTGGCTCCCTTTGGAAGGCAGTGCTGACAATTCTCCAGGCACATGTGCTGCGCAGAGATTGACTTCGTTGTAGGTTGACACTGCCTGCACGGATGAAATGTCTTTTGCTGTCCACAGGTATTCACTGTTGACAGCATAGGAACTACGTTGGGCCAGCCTTTGATGAAGATTTCGCCAGCAACTGCCGCGATGCTTGTGACACCTGCTGGACATATTACTTTATGATTGCAATGTTTCCTGGTCCTCTCTTCTTCAACTGAAGGTTGGCTGATGCTTTTGCATGGGTTAGGGCATTTCTTGGGGTCTCCACGAAGGGGCGGAGTGATAGATTCACTATGATTCACTCACAGGCGTTTCTTGAACATACAATGCGCATGAAGATTTTGCCAAGACACACAAGTTGATCGGGATTCCACTGCAGTCTCGCCGGCGGTACTCCCTTTCAACCACACGCCCCATTTCAAGAGAAGACTTGCTCGCACAAAGCAATCACTTGACAACTTGAAAGCACCAATGCAGGGCATCACGCAGGTTGAACTATTTTTGAAGTTAGATGATTGCACATGTGTTCCAATTTGGATGTGTATAACAATGAGTGGATTTGGGGTTCATGTTTTGCTTACGATTCATGTTCTCACCCCTTTTTTTCTGACTTTTGCCGAAGGGCTGTTGAGGGACGGGATTCATAGCAAGTAGTCGTGGTATGTAAAGTCAGTCCTTTATCAGTCCTTTATGTTTTTTTTGCTGGTGTTGCGTGCGAAAGATCCCTTGTATCGTATAACATGTATTACTGCAAGCAACTTGCAACATTGCAACAGCTGCCCCGCTTCAGTGGCAAAGTTGGCCAGAATTTGTACCTTACTAAGGATGTCTGTCATTTTCCTGAATTTTGGGTGTATCAACATCCTGGTGGCGGTCATGGTCGAACACATTGTGAGCATTGCGGCTGAAACCAGAGAAAGTTTCTCCAAGGCAGGCTTCGGAAAGCAACAACTGTGCCTGCTAGGATATGCTAGGATGGTGTAGAACAGACACCGTTTCCCTCGGCTATGATAAAAGATTGTATTTTGGTGGATATATAAACATCGTTGTGCAGGTGCTGGCAAAGGTAGAGAAGAAGGTTTTTGCTGCAATGCTGGAAGAGTTGACGGAATATTGCGATGATGGAGACACTCGGTGCGACTGTAGTTCTCCATGATCTAACCACACTTGTGCAATGGTGTTTTGTGAACAAGCTTTTGGGCATAAACAAATCCTGGAATTATTTGTTGCATTGAAGTCTAGGGCATTAAATTCTAAGGAAGGTGGCGGAGAACTGACCTACAAGGAATCTGAGTCTATGCCGGAAACGCTTTACGCTTGAGCAAATGCCATCGTTATGGTATACCTGTGACATTCAGCGAACATCAATGAACATAAAATTGGTGTGAAATTTGTTAATGTATATACACAGATCAGTAAACAGGTTAGGGTCTTGGGCA